ATTAAGGTCCAAGACATGGAAAGACTTTTAAGATTTGTTTTGATTTTACAAGAAATTAATACATGTATAAAAGACATGGTATAATATTCAAAATTTCTGAATTTACATTATCATCAGTAACTGTTTATATTCTATCCAAAACAAAGAATATGAGTTTCATGAATGAAAATTTAATATTAAATAGGATTACATATTACTCCTTGACTATATGTAGTTTTAATGCAAAGAAACTATTTGAAGCAACCTTTTTATAAATTAGTGACCATGTTTAAGTTAAATACTCTAATAAGAATTGAAAACATCACTTAAATATCCGTTTTCTAATCTCTTAAAATTTCAGACAGGAATTTATCAAAATATAATTATGTAATTACTATTTGTTATAGGTCTACATGCATTTTCACATACAATTTAAAACCTATTATCTTAATAAGAGCAAACTGCTTAAGAAAAGCATATTAAAAGATATTTATTATATCATTATTGTTTTAGATTTTTTTTGGTTTGATTTACGTCACAACAATACACTATAGGTCATATGGTGGATTTTAGCTTTACTGGTGGAGGAAAATCTCAAGTGCCCCTCTGTGCATTATTTCAGGCAATTACTGGTACCTGAGTAGAAAAACTGACATTCATTAAGGTAGCTTGATAGCTTTCTTGTATGGTAGAGTCGAAAGACACTTGTGCTGATCGTAACCTACAGAGGTGAAAGACAAGTGGTTTGAAGTCAACAAACTTAACCATTCGACCACAGGTGCCCCCCAAACCCTGTTAAAAGATACAGCCAAAATTAGCATTCATGTAGTAAAAAATATACTCAAATAATATACTCAAAGAAAGTAGCTAAAAGCAAACAAATCTGGCAAGACTAAAAACCAATATTCAGACTGGCCTGCATGTGTATAAGGCTTATACTATAAGAAGCTGTTTTCTAAATTATCATCTCCGTTTATACAATTTTAAAATGAGATTTAATCTGGGACTAAAAATGTGTATCTTTCTGTCCCAGATTAAATCAAGTATTTTTTGACATAAATAACTGTTATTTTCACAAAACTGTGTTATTTTTTTATCTTTTTATCCTAACTATTAAAAGATAACATTCAAGGAATTTAAAATATCATTTTAATCATAGCAGAAATAACCTATTACATTGTATATTTTTGTACTAAATACATATCCACTCTTTGATAAAAAAAATTTTAAAGGCCCATTAAGCCTCAGAAATATTTTATTTTTCAAGTTTTTTTTTGTTTTGTTTTTTTGTGTCCGGCTAAATATTAGGGATTTAGTATTTTGAATTAGAGTCAAAATACTACTTTGTTTACATTTTGCTATTTTTAATGAAGAATACTTTCATATTCAGCACTACTTTCTTCAGGTGATAGGCATCTAACATGCTCTTAAACCATAAACTAAATGTTATTAAACTCATATTTGCCCTTTTCACAGAAGAAAATATGTATTTGTTTGTGATGCACAACATGCCTTTAAAAAACTAGCATTAGTATAATATGAAAAGTTTGATAGATAAAACAACATTACATACATCTTATTCTTTTAATTTACGGCACAATGGTTTTCATAAATGCTGCTAAGGTATTGCACACTGCACTAGAATCACACTTTTTTCTGCTATATCTATACATATTCATGTTTTAACTAAATATTTCAATACAAAATCATATCAACATAGCATTACAATTATCTTAATTAAGATCAAATTTATGCATTCAATAGTGATAGGCAAGTGCAAATAAAACACATACAAATATTTAAAAATCATAACCAATGATTATGCTTTTCCAAATCCATGCTTTCCACATACAAGAAGAATAACTTTTCTGTTGTAGAAATTCAAATTGTTCTTAGTTTAACATTAAATTACCTCCCCTGTGAAGTATTTGTAACAAAATCATTTTTAAGCTATAAACCTTATTTCCTACTATTTAGTTATAAAATTAAGTATCCAATAAACCACATTGGCCAGAATCGATACAGTGACAATTTCTGCTTAAACCCTAGCCTGCAAGAACCACCAGTACACAGCCAGGCCAGCATGCATAAGAGTGCAGATTGACCAGGCTTGATACTGTTGACTGATCACTTTCATCTTCATATCACCAAAAATTGAGAATGGATCGGTTCTAAAAATGGGAACTGGATGAGTCTATTTTAGAAATGTGGCAGATTCTGGGTTGAAGAACCGGCTATCAGGTGCCAAACTAACTGTACATTAAATTTCTCACGTCCTTAACTGTAATTAATCAGACTGTCATTTCAAATACTACCATGAAAAGTGTTTATTGTGTCCTTAATTAAGCAGTTCATTACAAAACAAATTATAGATTGAAAAGGTGGTCTACACATATAATACTGTCAACCGTACATGTAAAATGCATCAAAGTGCATTTACAAACATAAAAAAGACATAACATTTATGTCTACATTCTCTTTCATACAAACAAATTTTGCTCTTGTTTATAATGATATAAAGCTATATTAACAATAACAATGAGAAATAATATAAAACTATATTAATATAATATATATGACTTAGATTTTATCACTTAACTCAGTACAATCATTTTATTTATACAGTGGTTTCCAGTAACTTTAAAGCCCAATATCTACACAGTAGCATCCATGTAAATCTTCCTGGTTTTGATTAATTTTCAAATGACATAAATGACTGGTGAAAACAAAAATATTGGTGCTGTTTAAGGATGATTCCTGATGTTGATGCAGAAAGGAAAACATGACCTTACCACGAGGAAGAGTTATTTATAGCCAGAGTGACCTTGACCGTGACCCAATCCACATACAACTGTCTGCCCAAAAAGCAGAGGTCCATTAAAGGTGCCAAAAAAAATCGAACGTCTAAGACATCAATAAAGATGCTAGGAAAACAGGCAGCTAAGTGTGACACACAGACAGACAGACATGAGGATGGAAGGAAAACTGGTAACTATATGCTTCACATTTCTGTGAGCATATAAAAACGTAATTCATAGAAACAATACAGTGTTTTTATCTATGCTAAATACTTTTCTTTAGCCATTCATTTTTCAAAATAAAACTGAATTTCCTTTTTTTTTTGTAACATAAATGCAGTTTATATATACATGTTATATTGATCTCCTATCATTAATATTCAACATGCATAGTGATCTCATTAATATTCAACATGTATAGTGATCTCATTAATATTTAACATGTAAAGTGATCTCATCAATATTCAACATGTAAAGTGATCTCAATAATATTCAACATGTAAAGTGATATCATTAATATTCAACAGGTAAAGTGATCTCATCAATATTCAACATGTAATAGTGACCTTATAAATATTCAATATGTATAGTGATCTCATTAATATTCATGAAGAAGATGTTCATTTTTACTCATTATTTTTGTTATAACCTAAATCTATGTAATTCAAATCCATATAAAATACACAAAATACTTGCTTGTACATTTTAACATTAAAAACAATTCAGATTAACAATAATGAAGAAATCTGTTTCTTCTTAAAGGCCCATCATGCCCCAAAATTGCTATCATTTCTAATTCTCAAATGAAAAAATAAGTTTCTTTTTGGTGTTCTGTGACAAATTTTAGAACAGTACTCCTTGGCTGAAAGAACCTTTGGGGTTTTTGTTGTTGTTTTCTTTGGTTATTAATATTAAAATTATAGTCAAAATACAACCTATTTACATTTTGCTTCTTAAGTGACAACTTATTTATATGTGGAAAGCATCCAACATGTTCTAAAGTAGTTACGTAAAAATATAAAAGCATGGCTTTAATATCTTTCCTGGGGCTTAGTGTGCCTTTAAACACCTTAAAAATGCCCACTCCTTAAAACTTTAAGGTTAAAGCTAAATAAAAAAACCAATATAAATTTTCCCAAAAAAAGAACTTCAATAATGAAATAATGCTATAAAAAAATGTTTCCATAAAAAAAAACGTGATAGCATATTTTTATTTAGATGTTTAAGTGATTGTCTATGAAAACATATTGTCAAAACTCTAAACTTTAATTAAATAGAAATTACTCTAAGTTAGCAATAAATGCAAAAAATTTCTGCTTTCTGCAATCTTCTGTGTGACCAGCATCACAGAAATTATATCTAACTCGACTACTAAAAACTCAAAAAATAGCCCTCGACCTGAACCCATAACCTAATGGAACCTTCAATGATAAGCCTTTGCTGCTAGTATAGAGCCAGTCCAGCCTGCACATCCATATACTCTGACCAGGCTCTATACTGTTGGCTCACTAACTTCAAATTTTATACCATTAAAGGGAGACCACTGAGATTTTTTGACTTAACAGGACTGGAAATATTTTTTTTCAATATTTGTGTACCATTTATTGTCTAGACCAATAACTTTTGTGCAAACTTTCAGATCATTCCCTCTCCCTGTTTTTCAACAATCAAATTTATTGTGAAAAATATCCCGAAAATGAAAAGCGTTGCAATGATTTTGACTCAAATCAGGCTAAGAATCGCTCAAAATTTGATTTTCCATTTAATTCTGAGCACATTTCTCTATTATCCTTTACAAATTTTTCCATTTCAGTGTTTCAATTGATTTATGTAAGTATTTAAATTTTAGGTTTTAGCATTTTGACCTCAGTGGAGTTCCTTTAAAATTGATAATGAGCAGACTGGAAAAGTTCAATTAGGAAATTGTGCAGGTTCAGGATAAACAGGGTGTACACTGTATTTGTTTATAAAGCACCTTATACATAAACCTTGGTCAATAACATTAAAAACTGTTTAAAAAAAAAAAAGTTCATATAAAATATAGGTTAACATAAAGCATATACCATTATCAAATGGTCTTGTTATATCATAATATAATAATAGGTAAACATAAAAGTAAGTTGTAGAGTCTAAACACAAGATCATTTCAACTGTAAAGTCCCCCCTGACAGTTGACAACCTGTGTTCTACTCCCTTAGTGTAAAGTGATACCGCTGGTTGGTGTTTTTGCTTTTTGATATTTTAACTTAAGCTGCGCTGTTTTCACCCGTTTAACTGATTGACAAAAGTCATCGACTTTGATGTCAGAGCTTCAAAACTTCTGTTCCACTTTTGTCATCAATTTGCGCTGTTTTTGTCATAGTTAAAAATATCGTATGTCTCAGTTTGATTATTTCCCGAACTCAAGTATTCAAAAGAATCCAAGTCTTTCTCTAGGGCTAACTACACATTTTCTTTGCCTTCTCACAGATCCACTGTCTTCACCTGTATGACATAATATATTCCTCTCTCTTTAGTTCTCTTATAACTCTAGCGACATTATCGAAGGCTTTTGTTGTTTTCTTTCCTTTCCGAAGAACACATAGAAATTGACTACAACACTGTAAAGCTTTCAAAACACCATTTGCACTGGTTTGATTGGTTTTACGTTCTTTTTTAAACTTCTTAATATCAAAACGAAAAATGAAAAATAATAAAATAATCAAGATTACATTAATGAAAAGTCTTCATCAATGGAGGCTAGAATTATCTTTCATAAAGCTCAAACAAAGTTGTCTATCCCTGAGATCGCCCCACCCACCATTGGGTTTTGGGTCCCGAAGCTTAAGGCCCGAGTACCCGCCTATAGTTACTGTGTTGGGGAATAAATGCTGTTTATTGGCGTCAATTAATTTCTGTGTCGTCTCTTTCTTCTCAGCTGGTTTACAGTTCTTCCCTTTATGATGAACTCCACTGCAAATATAACGAAAGAAAAATGTACAAAATACGTGTTTTCACAATAAACAGCTATAAAGAAAATTCACTAAGCTCAAACTCAGATCTCAGGTATTTGATTGGTCAGAAACATCTACAGAATGTTCACTGACCAATGAAACTCCTGAAATTTGAGACAGAGCTCAAAATTTTTTTTTATCACCTTTAGGCAGGCCTGTTTTATGTCGCTTAATTGTTAACAGATATCCAATGGATTCATTTTTTAAATAACCGCATGATATTGTAAGATCAAAGAGATAAGTAAAAGCAATCAAGTGATGTGTAAATGATTGTTTAAATTACATTTTTCAGATATTATGTCATACAGTATTTTAATACTGAACTCAATTTACAATTTATATGTAAACTTTCTAAGGAAACATAAATCGTTAACACATGACAGGATATATATGTTAATAATATGCAAACATTTACAGGGGGAGCAATGTTGTACAATTACTGGAAGTTTTATATGCAAAAACGATAACGAATGTGCAAAAACCAGTAATTCCAGACAGCTTATATCAATTTCTTTAATATTTTTACTCTTTATTTTTGACAAATGATACCGTTATTATGTTTGTAAAAACAAGCAATATGCACACATAGTAACCCTTGTGGATAAGGGGTCGACTTTAAGGGTTGAGGCATCAGTGACGGAAAGAGGCCACTAAATAGGTTTGAATTACTGGAGTCTATACATCACTCAACTCTAGCGGGTTAGGTGGTTTTGATCCAGGTGTTGCTTTAAATTTGTAACACCTGAGGTTAGCCAAAATCAATCTTCTGCACAAAACAACTTAAATTTTGTTGATTAGCCGTAATGCTAACCAACCAACCAACCAAACAAACAAACAAACAAGCACGCTTAAGCGTCATACCATTCGCCCATATGGAACACACGGGTTGCCTTCATCTTGAGCACTTTCATTGGAGCAGAAAAACATTTACTGCTAAGATGCTGCAATGTCCAGTCCCAATTATAGTCATCAAAATTACAAAACTCCTGCAATAAACAAACCCAAAAATACATTCATAATTATACAATCATTATGAGCAAAAAGTCACAAATACAGCAATATGAATTAATATACCCTATAAAATCTATTTTTAGCTCCTGTTACTCAGATATGTTACAGACCATAACAATTTATACACATCAGTTAAAGAAAAATGCTTATCAGCTAATGTTTCTTAAAATTTGTAATCCAACTTAAAATAAAGTTTCTTGTATCTCGTAGATTCATTTAAGGCCCATCCAAAGCAAGTTTCATTAAATTTGGTGAAAAATGTCTTGGAAAATACTTTTGGTTAAAATGTCTCAGAAGAGATATTTGAAGTAAATGTTATGACAGACAGACAGACAGGTGGACAGACAGACGGCTGCAGGAGACAGAAGATGACAGTCATCAAACCTAAGCTCAAGTTAGCTTGAAAAAAAAAAACCTTTTTATTAGCAATATCTACCATATACATGAAAGTATATACATCTGTCAAGTGTTTCTACAATTATTTTCCTTCCATCTTAATTACTAGTTGATATTATTGAAATATATCTCTCCAGTATTAATGATTAATCAATATTTTTTTTTTTTCAATTAAAAAAATAACAGCAGCTGTTGTGAACAGTGTTGGGGACAAAATGTTTAACGTCTAAAGAATTTAAACATGGTGTACATTTGTACTACTTGTTTAAATGCCTTGTTGACCTTCCTTCTCATGTATCATATACTAATGGCTCATTCCAATTTATATGTTCACAAATTGTCCTTAATGACAGTATTTCATAGCAAGTTTTAAATAAAGCCTGGAGGTAATATCATTTCTTATAGCTAAACGGTGTCATCATCCACAGTTTTGTACAGTGGTTCACAGTTTGTTTTGACGAATTGTCAGATTTTAGGTTATACTGATACAGTTAAGGTCATACGTTGACCTTACATGCCTCTTTGTCCCTTGTGCATTATTTCAAGTCAAAGAAGGTACCTGAATATAACCGCAACATTCCATAAGCTAGCTGGATAGCTACCTCACATGAAAGAATCCACACACAGAATCGGACCAGCAATGGTTGGATTCTCATATGGGAAGAAGCTATCCAGCAAAATTATGGAAGGTCAGAGGCTTTGTGGACTGAAAAGGCATAAAAACTAGAACTGTGTCCAAAGGACACGGATGCCCCCACTGACAACATATATATGGTATATAGTTAAAAAATCAACAAAGGGCCATAATTCTGTTAAATTTGGTCGCAGCAAAAATTCCTTCCTTTACTACCATCTACACATTAAGGTTGTTCATCTCTGGAAGTTTAAGCAAAATCTGCCATCCGGTTTAAGAGGAGTTGCGTTCACAAAATTTCTATATGGTATATAGTGAAAAAATCAACAAAGGGCCATAATTCTGTTAAATTTGGTAGCAGCAAAAATTCCTTCCTTTACTACCATCTACACATTAGGGTTGTTCATCCCTGGAAGTTTAAGCAAAATCTGCCATCCGGTTTAAGAGGAGTTGCGTTAACAAAATTTCTATATGGTATATAGTGAAAAAATCAACAAAGGGCCAGAATTCTGTTAAATTTGGTCACAGTAAAAATTCCTTCCTTTACTACCATCTACACATTAGGGTTGTTCATCCCTGGAAGTTTAAGCAAAATCTGCCATCCGGTTTAAGAGGAGTTGCGTTCACAAAATTTTTACATGGTATATAGAGAAAAAATCAACAAAGGGCCATAATTCTGTTAAATTTGGTCGCAGCAAAAATTCCTTCCTTCACTACCATCTACACATTAAGGTTGTTCATCCCTGGAAGTTTAAGCAAAATCTGCCATCCGGTTTAAGAGGAGTTGCGTTCACAAGATTTCGGGACGTACGGAAGGACGGACGGACGGACAGACGGACGGACAAGTGCAACGCTATATGCTCCCACTCTGTGGGGGCATAAAAAGCCTACATTATTACAACTAGAAATCTTGTCCTCACAAAGTCATGTGACACTTACCGTTCCACATTTTTTAATCTCTTTGAAGAGGTTGATATTAAATGCCATTCCCATATTATGTCTAGAGGAGATCCAGTTAGCAACCTCAACCTAAAAAAGTAAAATACAAAATTCTGAAACTGTATCCAAAAAACTGTTGTCATGTCAGTGAATTTGTATAGCTTTAAGGTAAGTTTAAGAGTGCAGCGCCAAAGTTAGTTAAACCACAAGTCATGCTCAGAACAAATGCTTCTCAATTAAGAAATGCACATTCAAATTAAAGCAGATGTATTTACAAGGATGTAACAAAATAAGAGTGGATGTTTTTAAATAAGAGTGGATGTGTTCAAATTAAGAGTTGATGTGCTCAAATAAAAATGGATATATTCAAATTAGAATACTAGATGTGTTTAAATTAATGTGAATGATTCAAAACTAAAATAAATACATATATCTTCAATAAGAAATAACTAGAACTCCGCGAGTCGGATGTGTCGCCTTGTGAACAATGTAGTTTAGGGGAAATGGCCAGGACAAAAATGAAATATGAAAAATAACAAAGGGCAATAACTAAAAAAATAATAAGTGCAGAGCAGCAGTTTCTGTACACTGCACTTCTTATCAATAAGATCTATCATTCTATGATGTTTCAAGTCCATAGCTTTCATACTTGAGGAGAAATGACCAGGACAAAAATAAAGTACGAAAATCAACAAAGGGCAATAAATCAAAAATAAGAAATGCAGAGTATCAGTTCTTATGCATGATGAGATTTCAAGTCCATAACTTTTATACTTTTGGAGGAATGGCCTGGACAAAAATTAAGTATGAAAATTAACAAAGGGCCATAACTCAAAAATTAAGAAATGCAGAGTACCGATTCTTGTGCACCGCACTTCTTAATAATGAGATCTATCATCCTATGAAGTTTCAAGTCCATAGCTTTTATACTTAAGGAGAAATGGCCCATACAAAATTAAAGTATGAAAATAAACAAAGGGCAATAACTCAAAAAATAAGAAATGCAGAGTACCAGTTTTTGTGCACTGCACTTCTTCTTAATGAGACCTATCATCCTATGAAGTTTCAAGTCCATGGCTTTTATACATTAGGAGAAATGGCCCGGACAAAAATAAAGTATGAAAATTAACAAAGGGCAATAACTCAAAAATTAGGAAGTGCAGAGTACTGGTTCTTGTGCACTGCATTTCTTCTTAATGAGATCTATCATCCTATGAAGTTTCAAGTCCATAGCTTTTTTAGTTGAAGAGTAATGGCCCAGGCAAAATTATAGTATGAAAATTAACAAAGGGCAATAAACTCAAAAAAATAAGAACTGCAGAGTACCGGTCCTTGTGCACTGCACTTCGGGTTATTGAAAGAAGCATGCATACCAAGTTTGAAGTCAATCAGACTTAAAGTGACTGAGTTATGCTCTGGACAAGCTTTAGGGGATGCTGGCCGATGACACCGCCGACGACATATTCACCTTTTCAGGCGACAAAAAAATGGATGTATTTGACTTAAGTACTAGTATAGTTTTTCAAATAAGTAAGTAACTTAATTCTATATGTCACACACTGATTTTTGTATATTAAAATGAATGTACTCATGAAGGCACATTATTCCTCACAAATGAAAGGCAAACATAATTTTCATAATGTTTCAAGAATGGTTCGGCATTTGCTTATCACTTGAAAAAAGAAGTGTCAAATATGTATTAATCCTTAATAAACATAGCAAAATGTTAACAAAGTAGTATTTTTTACTTCTAAGTTACTGTAACTTTACCTATTGCCAAAAACCAGCCAAGAACAAAATATGGTTTAGGTCAGGGGCCAATGAGTAAAACTTCATTGAAAGTAAAACTGTTCACCAAAAAAATACAGAGGTTTCGAGAAATAAAGTAAAAGCATTTCTGGGGAATACTAAGCCTTTAAGTCAAAGTAGTTAATATTGATTTGAGCCGCGTCAGGACAAAACCAACATAATGGGTTTGCGACCAGCATGGATCCAGACCAGCCTGCGCATCCGTGCAGTCTGATCAGGATCCATGCTGTTCGCTACCAGTTTCTCTAATGGTAATAGAGTTGGTAATCGAACAGCATGGATCCTGATCAGACTGCTCGGATGCGCAGGCTGGTCTGGATCCATGCTGGTCGCAAACCCATTATGTTGGGTTTGTCCTGACGCGGCTCATTTCTTGTTTCTTTTCCTACATTTAATTTGAAACATTTTGATAATGTCCTGGAGGTAATTTATCTGATCAGAGTTTTACATTTCTAGCTTGAAACTTCTCTTACCATCAATTGATATAAATTATAAACTAAAATCAACTTTAAATAAATTGTAACAGCTTAAACACAAAACATGCATAAAATAAAAAAATGAAATGTTCATCAACAAAATTTAATAATGAAACAAACAAGAGGGCATTCAAACAGATGGCAATGTATACTGAAGCAATTCTGACAGTTTCTTTTATGTCAATTTTAAAAAATATCTGTCAATAGTAAAAGTAACGTAAGTATATGCCAATAGTAAATGTAACGTATGTATTTGTCAAAAGTAAAAGTAACATAAGTATAATTATGTCAATTGTAAAAGTAATTTAAGTATCTGTCAATAGCAAAGTAACATAAGTATATGCCAATTGTAAAAGTAACTTAAGTATATGTCAATAATAAAAGTAATGTATGCATAATTATGTCAATAGTAAAAGGAATTTAAGTATATGCAAGTAGTAAAAGTAACGTAAGTTTATGCCATAAGTAAAAGTAACACAAGTATATGCCAATAGTAAAAGTAATGTAAGTATAATTATATTAATAAACAAGAGCTGTCCGTAAGACAGCGCGCTCGACTTTTTTATTGCTTGCCAATAAAAAAAGTTTTTGCAGTAAAAGGCAATACAAGAATCTCTGTATTTTTAAAGTGAACAATGGCCATGAGCATTAAGATATTTAGTGACAGTTAAGGGCCATAATTCAAATAAAATCTTTGACAGAATTACCTTCTCCTGGACATGTTTGGGAATCATGATTGTAAACAAGTATTCCAACTTTCAAATTAATATCTCAAACAGTTCAGTCAAAAAGTGGACTGGTACTAAAAACTTAACCAAGATTCTAAGTCGATAAAAGGCCTTAATTTTTAAAACAAATCCTTGACAGAGTTACCTTCTCTTGCATACAGATGGGGGTAATGATGTGAAATAGCATTAAAAGTTTCAAAGCAATATCTCAAAGGGTTAAGGCAATAAGTGGATTTTACCCATATTCAATGTATTTTCTAAGTCAAAAAGGGGCATAATTCCGTCAAAAACCTTGACAGAGTTTTGAAATAAAGTGAGGTGGTACAAAAAACTTAACCAAGCTCAATACACTTTCTAAGTCAAAAAAGGGCCATAATTCTGTCAAAAACCTTGACAGAGTTATGTACTCTTGTCTGTAGATGGAGGTTATGATGGTGAACAAGTATGGTAAGTTTCAAAGCCATACTTGTAATACTTCTGAAATAAAGTAGGGTGGTACGAAAAACTTAACCAAGGTGTGACGCCGACGCCGGGGCGAGTAGGATAGCTCCCCTTTTCATAGAAAAGTCGAGCTAAAAAAGTAACATAAATATCTGTCAAAAATAAAAGTAACATAATGTATCTGTCAATAGTAAAATTAACTGTCAACTGTTTGTCACTACTAAAACGTATCTGTCAATACCAAAATCTCATTCTGATCCTTTAAATTCTGACATTTTTTCCCCTCCACAATACCTCTAAATCATCAGATTACAAACTAAAAAAAGTTGAACTTTGAAACATTAACTTTTTCAAATCTACCTGTCTTACAACCTTCATATTTTAAATCCCTAGAGACATCAGCTGTAATCTAGAAATATATAATTTTTCAAATTTGTTAAATATATCTCACTCCTTATATTTTAATTATTTCATATCAAACTGAACTTTCTAGAGTTTACACTAGTTATGGAAAATTTTATACTACCAAAGTGTTCAAAAAGGTTTTTACGCTTTAAATGACCATTTTCCATTGCATGTTTGTTTATTTTGTTGGGTTTCATGTCATTCTGACATTTTAAAGATCATATGGTGGCTTTCCAGCTTTCATGGCGGAGGAAGACCTCAGGTTCTCATTGTTTAAGACCTGTGTAGAACCACCAACTTTCTATAAGCTAGCTGGACACTGTCATACCATGAAAGAATCCTTAAGCCCTACCCGGATTCAAACCCACAGCAGTGACATGCATATTGGCCTGAGTCCGTACCCCTAACCGCTTCGCCACAGATGTCATTATGAATGAAAGGATGACATTCTATCATAATGTATTGTATCATAAATTCATATGAAACTACAAAGACTTAGTACTAAATACAAATATAAATTGTTGCTATCTAACTATATGTAATATGTATGTATTATTCAAGGGAGAAAGTTAAGACATTGGCAGCTATACAGACAAAAATATCCGACTCTCTGGAAGCTGATTTGCAGAAATTAAGCAGAGCTTTATTTCTACATTGTACAGTTTACCTCGAGTCTGACATTTTGCACTGTATATGTAGCCAGTCTAAATTTCTACTGCTTAAAATGGTTTCATTTTTATGAAAAATAATGGCTATAAATCTTGAGTGCTTAAATCTTATTCTTGCTCTTGAATAAAAAATTGAAAAAAAAATAAAGAGTATAAATGCAATATCAGGATAAACTAGTACAACAACAACACAATTCATTGTTATCTTGTTCAATTCTTTCCTAAATCAGATAAAGTTAAACATCTATCAAACAACAATAAATTGGCTTGAAAAAAAAACATATCTACAACATCTGTCATTAATCAACTGTTTTACAGATGTCACAAAAGTTAATTAAACAAAAGCTGTAACTATGGCAATAAAAGCTTGATGACATTTGCTTGATTCAAAATAAGTTAGCATATAAATGGAGATGATCAATTTATTGTTAAAAAACTTACTTGGAGAAATTTATATGCACTTAAGCAAGGTGTGCATTGTATATATGTAAATATGATTTTTATTATATTTACCTATATGAGCAAAGCTTTGCTTACACATCTTATATAATTCTGTATTGAATAGCATATGTACTTTTTATCAGTTTTTATTTTTTATTTCCTAGATAGGATTTTTGACTAACGTTTAATTATGCCCCCCCCCCTGATTTTGTAAAATATACTTATTGTGAGTATGAAATAGTTCTTTGTTATCTATTATAGTTTGTTTGTTTTGTTTATAATGCCATTTATTAAGATAAAAAACTAAAATGAATCAATGAAAGTAGTGTTTCTTCAAAATAAATTAAACATTCAGCTGACCAATATGCCCAGTGTAAATGCATTATGGCGAATTTTGATTAATAATGAAAATTTGCACATTTAATTACAAAGAATGATGGATTTTATGTGTTACCTACTGCATAACTTCTGAGGAAAGACAGACCATTTAAAAGCAGAAAATTGAACATTTTGATTTCTTTGATCATTATTATGCTACATTTGTTAAACAAACCTTTTTTCACTTTGAATTTAGATCTGTCCATTATCAGTATAGGAAATTTGACATGAAAAGGTGAAATGTATATCGATTGAGACTGACCTGGCTCTATACTAAAGGCATAGACAAAGCATTACTGCCATTAGTATATACAAAAGGTCAAAGTTCATGTCAGTCCAAAAAGTTGCCTGTTACCACTGATTACTCAATAGGGGAATTATATTTTTCTTATTATGGTTTTTACCAAAGATTCTGGTAATATATACAGTAATTTGGCATACCTTTCCCGCATTTGCACCATAGTTTTGTGTTTTGTCATAGTTTCCAGCTGCTAAAATCTTACATTCCGTACATTCCCTGAAAATGAACATGACAAATTTATTACAATAAAAATAATTGTTTCATATAAACTAAATAGATTCGTCTTTTTTAAATTTAAGATTAATTCATGTTAAATTTAAAAGATGTTATAATGATAATATGTACATAATAGGTTCTTTTTTTTTTTTGGTTGGATTTTAACATCGCACCAACACAGTATAAGTCATATGGTGGCTCTCCAGCTTTACTGGTGGAGGAAGACCTCAGGTGCTCTACTGTGCATCATTTCAGGCACAAACAGGCATTTGAGTAGAAACCACCGACTTTCCATAAGCTAGCTGGATAGCTTCCTTACATGATACTATCCAAAGTCCTGTTGGGATTCAAACCAACGGCAGTGAGGGGCAAGTGTTTTGAAGTCAACGACCTTAACCATTCGGCCATGAATGCTTCTTTTATCACAGGTAGGCTGATAGGTAGCATGGAACAAAAATCTGGCCTTGACTTTACATGTATACTGGTGTCAACATTATTGTCTAATATATTAACTGCTAAATTTATCATTTTTATGAATAGATTCATATATTATAGAAATCTAATATCGGAACATATTTGCAAGGAAATTACAATAGAATTCAACAGTGAAACATGTAAATATCTATTCACAGTAACCATGACTTGCATTTCCTCTCTTTAACCCATGGGAGTCTGCATCATTTTCTATTATAGCAATGTAAAATGAAACATAAGCGAAAAGAAGCATTCTCCATTGTCAATGACAGCGGTTTTTGTCACACCTTGCAATTCCTCAAAGTATATTATTAATTTTTCCAAAAAGGAATATGTTTGCAGCTTTATGACTTGCTTATTTGGTTTGCAGTTAATTTTGTACTTTGTGTTGAAGACTTATTAAAATACGGCTTAACCCGGTGCTTAGGGCCATGAGGGATGTTGCACATTTCCGGTATCCCTCATGAACAGACTCCATCGAACGGAGTCTGCAATTTTCATGTAATTTTGTTGTTTTCATTGCTGCCAAAGGATCACTCTTTTTCTAGATTTTTTTTGACAATTGAAAAATGCAGTCATCATGTATTAAAGCACTAAGTCTAGAACATACTTGTTACGAAGGTTTTGCATCATCTGAAGGACAGACAAGATATCTGGTGTCACATAGTAATCCTCTTCCAACAACAACACTAAACCTTCATAATTCTTCATCACAGTCACTGTTTCAAATATATGGTTTAACTGAAAAACAAATCAACAAGTAAGTTTAGGGTATGACTGTTTTTCTGATTAACATATACTGTGAGTGAGTCAACTATCGTTATCTCGACATCGCTTTTCTCGATATTTCGTTATCTCGATGAAATTTTGAAAGTCCCGATTTTCTTCCTTCTTTATCTTTATTGGAAATATTTGTTTATCTCGATATTTATATTTCGATATTTTCAGTATCTCGATGTAAAATTTCAGCCCGAACAGTTATTTTCAAACTACAGTGGAACCTGTCTAATCCGAACTCGTCCGGACCAGAAGAAAAGTTCGGATTAGAAAGGTTTCCGGATTAGAAAGGTTTCCGAATTAGAAGGTTTTTTTACATGTTTTTTCATGTTATTTGCAAAATAGTTTAAGGAAAGAAAACGGGAATGCATTTGAAATTGCAATTTAAATATTTTATTTTTGCAATCTCTTATCGTTCATTTTAATACATGTGAATACAAAAATAAAGAAATAAAAATAAATAAATAAGCAAAAATATTATGTCCTCAAAGGTAACTTAACCTACGATATTTAACAGGAGGCTGAGACATGATTAAATATTCGTACCAGCATTTATTAATTGTTGTTTACTCTTATCCGATTCAGCGATTATCCGAATTCACTGACAGTTTCCATTAATTTTCATTACTTAATCACGTATCATTGAATCCATTACAAAGGATTAAAAGATATTTCTATTGCATTATATCAAAATACTTATTGAAGGTGACGAAAAACAATCAATTAAGCAATTATAGAAGATATCAAGGCAAGCTAAGTGTAATTTTCATACCTTCGCAGATCAGACGTTTCACCCATTAATCAAGCGAAATAACACTAAGTCTTATCAGTTTGGTGTATGTTTACATCTGCAAGATGTGCGATTATTTGTTATTTTGAATGAAGGTGTGACATTTAGCAAAATCTGTTCGGATCCGAGAGGTAAATTTTAGAGTAAAAAAAGAAAAAAAATTGAAAAAATCGTCCGGAATTCGGAGTAGACAGGTTCCGGATCCGAAAGGTTTTTTACTATTGAAAATAGAACGAATAAAATCGGGACCGGACACTTCGTTCGGATAAGAAAGGGTTCCGGGTTAGAAGGGTTCGGATTAGCAAGGCTCCACTGTATTATTCTTTGTTTATCTCGACTAATATTTTCTTTCGTCTGTTCCATTCAAACGTGTGAAAAACACAAACTAGACGATAATTGCTCAATAGCGCATGTCATAATGTTGATTATGTTTGTAACAAGTTTAGCTGTTTTTATAAAAGTTAATCTATTTAGCGATTGACTTATGTCCAAAATGAGTAAATTTTACGTTCTTTATAAATATTCGAACACTGTATCAATTCATTATGACTTTAAATGTAAATGAAATAGTGAAAGTATAGAAACGCTATCGTTTGACAACATCACCACCAAATCAATCAGCAGTCGAACAATCTCGAGAAAGACCCGATAACTAACCCGGGAGGATATCCGGATTAACCACCCTGAAAACAATGTTTTCACTATATTGGTGTATTACTGAGTAAACCTCACTATGTGTTTTTATCAAAGACACCCGTATTTCCGCTGGTAAACATCCGCTAATGTTACTTTGTTAAATATTGACTAGGCCAATGAAAACTAGACATGGGGATATCATAGTTTACTTGACATAAAGTATGCACATGTCTTTTGTAAAAATCAGTTTCTGCCTTATTCAAACCCTAATAATTATGTTTATCTCGACATTTCGTTATCTCGATATTTTTGGACGGTCCCGATGACTTCGAGATAACGATAGTCGACTGTCAGTTAATGGTATAATTGTTCTTCTTATGTTTCTAACCTGGCTTTCTTTCCTGATTCAAATTTAAGTAAGAGACCATGACATATAAATTATCATGTGATACTTGTATGTTTTTCATTAAACCAATTTTTTTTAAAGTTAATAAGAAATTATGATGTCAAATAAATGACATCATAGGAAAGAACAATATCAAGTCAAAGGGACACCACTGGACTGGAGATAATTTTTCAAGAATTTTATTTCACTTGATGCAGGCTGGTTCATACCAATTACATGTTTGCAAAATTTCAGAACTCAGTGAAGTTCCTTTAAAAATAGGTACTTTAGTATAATTCAAATTCATTTCTACAACGAAAATATCAGAGTTTAAGTCAACAAGCTAGATTTTGGTTATCCAGCATGTACCTGAAAATTGAGTTATTTCAATACACCATGAGATAAAGAATAACCAAAGATTTTCCATGAGCTAGCTGAATACCTATCTCAAATGAAAGAATCCAAAGTCTCTAAAGGGATTCCAATCCACAGCTGTGACAGGTAAGTGATTAATAGTCAGTGACTTTAATTACCTGAAAGTAGAGGCCACACAACGCCTTACACCAACCCACATATATAAAATATAAAAATCACTCACATCAAAGTCACCCTCCTTTCTCATGTTAAATTACTGCAGTCTTAAAACACTTCTGTTAACAAAACCCATTTTTCTGCTCTACTGACGGGCCATGTTGTACAGGTTTTAATGTATTATAGTAATAATTTACCTTCCAGAACCAATGATGTTTGGTCTGACAATACTTGGCTTCCCTGTAATGTCCATATTTGTCTGGATATTCAAAATTCTGACACTTCACCTTTGCAGCCCTGAAATATACACATAACATTTTACCATTCCTTCACTACTAAATGTTAATTTGTACAAATACAATTTTAGCATCAAGGTCACAGATCAAGGTCACGGATCAAGGTCACTGTGACCCTGAAAATTGAAATAGTGAGCTTCTCTTGCCGATTCTCCTGCTGATTTTCCGTATAAGGAGTAGCACTTGTGTGTAACTGTTCTTTTGAGAAGAAACAAATTTAAATATCACAGACATAATAACCTTGACCTTTGACCTTATTAAATTTAAAGGTCTCGGTCTTGGCAACTGTACATTTATTTTTTTCCTTCACATATCAAGCACAGTCAAAATGGTCTATCTACCAACTAAGTAACATAACATAACATAAAAGACAACTAAATATGAGAAGAACATCATTATTTATTGATCCAGCTTTAAGTGAGGTCATAATGGTACTGAATCGTTTTCATTATGATTTACAGTATGATTTACGGGTAATTCAAACCATTATACAAGGTTCCACAATGATGTTGAGTCATTTTCAAATTTCATCCTAATTTAGAAATTTCTACCATTCCAAACAATTCAACATTGAGATTATTGTGCTGTTTTTTGTACGGGCAATATTTCCCTTGTAAAAAAAGGGCCCAGAACAAAAATATCTGAGAATCTAGCTTTTGCAAGTAACATTATTTTGATTACTGTTCTAAAACAGCATCTGTATATGATTTTGTATCCTAACCAATCAAAATGATTCAAACATAATGCCCTGTCAAATTATATTTCTGAGTATTTTCACACTGTTTATGCTTACTTACATATTTACCAAATCAATAGTTATAGAACAATATTCTCTACAGAGTAAAGATTTTAAACTTACAACAAATTTCTCAAGATAATTTAAAAGTCAATAAGCTCGCAATTGTTTAAAGTCTGATTTCATCTCTTTTACTTACTTTGTACTTTGTTCTTTAAATGCGTATGTCTATAAATTGTGATCATCAATCTTTTAACGTAATGTAAGTAAAGTAATGATGTTACAGTGAACTTTCCTATTCCTTTATAAATATGCATTTAAAGTTTCAGGATAGTAAAAGACAATGTTTATAATGTGAAGGGTTTTATATCAACAGCTTGTATTGTAACCTAAATGCAAAGAGAATGTTTAATACATGAAAAAAAAACAGTATTTAACAATTCCTGAAGAATTGACCTGCACATTTAGCCTTTAACCTGCTCCTGAAGCATTTAAACCTAAGGTTTTATGATTAAGTTTGTAAAACTGTCCTTGTCTTTAAACCTGCCCATTAAATCTTTAAACCTGCCACTGAAGTCTTTAAACCTGCCTCTTAAATCTTGAAACCTGCCCCTGAAGTCTTTCAATACCTGCTTTTAAATCTTTAAACCTGCCCCTGAAGTCTTTCAATACCTGCTTTTAAATCTTGAAACCTGCCCCTGAAGTCTTTCAATACCTGCTTTTAAATCTTGAAACCTGCCCCTGAAGTCTTTCAATACCTGCTTTTAAATCTTTAAACCTGCCCCTGAATTCTTCAAACCATCATCAGATACCCATGGCCGACCATTACCATTAATATCACACCCGTGGGATTTTTCGCCAATATCCAATCGATAAGAGGTGTGTCAAAGACAGATAATTCATTGGATGCCACATGATTTCATGAGGCGACTACAACCAATCAAAACGCTCATTTGGTGAAACGTTAATTCTAGAAAAAATACTACTATTGTGCTCTCTGCTTGTGAAATAATTTAATTTGGGAATCATTTTTCCTTTTATATTCCTGTACGAAAAATCAGCATGGATTTTATGAGGACCGATTCAGGCCTGTTTTGAACCAGAATTGGCAAAATCAGGGTGAAATAGACATGGACCCTGAATTTTCAATAAATCTCACATGGGAATTCAAGTATTTTCTACCCTGACACCGTCTTCATTTTGGTAAAAGTCAGGGTGGAGGCAGGAATATTTGCACTTTGAAAATATTTTGACACAGATTTTATTGACTTGGAGAAATGTAAGCAAAATCTACCCAGATATTTCAAAGTTAGAAAATGTTGAAGAACCAGTTTTAATACATTCTTTAAAGTTCTTCATTTCCAGCCTGATTTTTCTGACTTAGAGTTATTAGAAATGAATATTGCAATACACTAATAATACAGTTCAGACAAAATTGAATTTTAAATTCAGAAGAAAAACGTTTTATAAATTTGTCTATTTCTAGAAACTATCACTTGATTTATGGTAAACTCCATTTTACAAAAATTAGTTTCATTTACTGAATTATTTTTTATTATTTTTTTTTTTGAAATTTAATAAATTTTTATGTGGATTATTTAGATCAAAATGATTTATTGTTATCAATGAAATTGATAATTGTTACTAGTAATTGATTGTATCTATATTTAACTTATGACAAACAATTTTTTATTTTATGCATAAAGTGGTCAGCTGAATAAGTAATGTACAAGATTTTTAGTTTTTATCCACCATCTCACAATCTGCACAGAATCTCATAATGTCTAAGGTCAGCTTTCAGTTTATATAAACAAATAACCTTCAAGTGGAACTTTATACAGTATTTCAAAATACTTTATGTTAAACTGGGCTATCTGGCAGATGAAAATAGAGAAGTTAGCACAGATTGACTGACAGCAGTTTAAAATCCAGAGCAAATATCACACCCTGAAAATTGTTTCCAGCATGGTCATTTTCTTTAGAAAGATTTGAGGCTTAAGTTGTGATTTTGATTCAAATAAATCATCTTACACTTATATATTAATATATAAATGAGTTTTGATAATTATATAGATAATGAGATTTAAGAATTCAACTACCCTAGCTATACAGAACTTTCTTGGAAAATTTATTGTGAAACTTTAACATATATAATAATTATAACATGGAGCATAATAGTGTTAAACTTCGTTACTCATTTTGAAAAAAATGGAGGGAAATTAGCAGCCAATCGTGACAGATAAATGGTAAGTTATAATTAAATTACAGTTCTTAATATTTTTAATTTTTCATATAATAATGAATTTTGTAAGCCCAGTATTCTGAAAAGAAATTAAATAAATTTCCAGGAAACCTGTTTAAAAATATGGAGGGAAAATAGAAATCATCCTTAATTTTTCTAAATAAACTATACATTTTGATCATTCCATTCTAGAAAAAACCCCACTGAAGTCTTAAAATGAAAAAAAAATTATAACATGATTGCATATTTGTTTTTTTTTTCTACATCCAAAATTTAGGTTGAAGCCAAATATTTCAGTAACATGTGACAATTAAGAGGATGAAGAAGAAGAAAATGGTGTAGTTGCGGAACAAAAGAATACAATGGAAGAAATATTACTGGTAATTTTTATTTTCTTCATTTAATTCTATCAAAATTAGTTTTAGTTTTAAATTTAATTATCGAAAGTATTCATCCCTGCAAATTTAATAGAATTAATAACTTCATAAAGTCAGTACATATATGTCTATAATGCTGTAGCTTCTTTAAAATAATTTCATCAATCATTTTGTTCTTTTGTTTTGATTGCAATTAATGCAATATACCTTTTAAACATCATTGTATGGACATATTTCTCTATATTAAGGTGTAACATTTTCTTTTAGATTAATATATAAATTGAAAGTTGACTATAGCATATTCCTACACTGCTTTCATATGTTTACAGATTGTGTAGCCCAGATACTAAAGAGTGGAATTATGTAATACAGCTGGCAGATATCTTAAGTGGAAATATCAAACAAGAATGACTTTTGAAATGTATTTAATTGTATGAAAATCAAATACAGATAAGTGAAACAAAATTCTGAATTAATTATTATTTTGTCAAATATCATGGATGAAAATTTGTAAGCAAATAGCCACCACTGAATTGTGAAGATGATCAATTCAGCATTATGTTCATTGTTTGTTATGAGCTACTTTTTATCACCTATTATTCTAAAATACATAATGCTCAGAATATGATGGAATTTATTTAAGAATATTTTCTTGGGCTGGTTCTAAAAAGATCAGGAATCTAGGTTGACTTTTATTTTAATTTCAGGGTGGGATTTGCAAAATTTTCGGGGCGGGATAATAACAGGAGGGAAAAAGTCTGGCCTGACTTTTTAAACAGAAATCAGGGTGAATTATGGCTCATTTAAATATTTCAAATTTATCCCACCCTGAAATTGCTTTCAATTTAACTAAATCTATTTTTAGAAATCTGTGTGAGTGAAAATTCTGCCCTGGATTTCCATTTCAGGGTGGTGTTTTTTCTGGCTCATTTAAATATTTCGTTGAATCCACCCTGAAAACACTATATATTGTATACTAAAAAATCTAAAAATAGATTCTGTCTTCTCTATAGTCAACTGAATAGCTTAAAAAACCTGGCTGGGAGTCTGGGAATAAATGTCTTATCCCATGTCAAATCAGGGTGTAGTCAGGGTAGGCATTTTCGTACAGGTTGACAAGACAAGTGAGACAGGTTTACACTGTGGGCATTGCTATTTTGTTTCTTATAGTTGTTTACCTTTACTGTCGAAGAATATAAATTTAGCAAAATTCAATTTCATCGGTCGATATTTTACCCACCTGTTGCTGTATATGGATGCAATTTGATTAATTTTACCCATGATTGATTACATGTTATGTTACATGTTAATCAACCACGGGTATCTTACAATGTCTTCAAACCTGCCCCTTCAATCTGCCCCTGAAGTCTTTGAACCTGCCCATTGATATGTCCCTGAAGTCATGTCCCTGAGATTTTAATCTGCACCAAAAGTACTTAAACCTGTCTCTGAATTTTTGTCTTTAAAACTGCCCCATAAATCTTTAAACCTGCCACTAAGCTATATATTTTAATCTTTCATGTTTCACTACTGCATAGTTACTGATCCACATGGATTTCTTAATGTTAAACAAGGCTGAATGGGTCAGGAGACTTTTTTTTCATATTGAAAATAATGTTTAGATTTCACAAAAACAACACAAGTCTTATCAATATATGGAACCTCCATACTTCTCTTAACACATTGCTAAATCAAATGCAAAGGTAAGTGTTTTATATTACCCACTATCTCAAAAACTTAAGTGATTAGTGATTTTAAACTCTATTTTAAGTTTCAACATTTTTTTCAGATTAACAATACGAATTTGCTTTTATGGCCAAATGGTTAAGGTTAAGGATTTCAAACCAATTATCCCTCACAGCTGTTACCCTGCGGGTTCGTATCCTGCCACAGACTTTGTATTTTTTTCCCTCAAGAAAGTATTTTTTTCCCTCAAGAAAGCTATCTCAGACTTAAACTTTCTTAAAGATTATAGACAGTAGTTCTACTCAGGCGCCCAAAATAATGCACAGAGTGGCACCTGAAGTCTTCCACCACCACTAAAGCTGGAACATCGACATATGACCTAGATAGTGTCAGGCCACCCAAAATTTTAACAAAATAGTTTTTGCTTTTTAGCAAACAATATAAAGCATTGCTCTGTACATATATCTTGATTCTTGTAATATAATTATGAAAATTTAGACGCGCCGGAACAAAACCAACATAGTGCGTTTGCAACCAGCATGGATCTAGACCAGCCTGCGCATCCATGCAGTCTGATCAGGATTCATGCTGTTCGCTGACAAACCGTATAACACATAGAGAAACTGATAGCAAACAGCATGGATCCTGATCAGACTGCGCAGATGAGCAGGCTGGTCTGGATCCATGCTGGTCGCAAATGCATTACGTTGGTTATGTCATGAGGCGGCTCAATTATTATCACCTAGTTTTAATTCAAACTGAAATGTCCCGACTAATGAGATTATAAACATATTTATCGTTCATAAAGCTTAGGCAGGAATGAATATAAAATCCTTCCATTTAATAGAATAATCCTACAACATGATTACAATGTTGAAACAAGGTGGTACATACATCGTGGGTGAGCCTCAATAACAGTCTGGGCTTCCATAACGGTTAACCTATAAATTGTGACTTTCGATGACAGACAATTTTTAGTTTTGGACATCCAAATTTTGAAACTTAATGGAAGCCCTGAATAACATTTTGAAAATTTGGATAACTTAATTTATGTCTCTGGTGTATTTAAAGTGACATTATGCCCATCCAAGAGTAAATGGGGACCAGGTAAAAAGTCAGAATAACTCTTATAATAACTTTTAGCTAGGGTGGTTTTCAATTTTATATTATACTTCACATGTAAAATCTGAATAACCAATATTATTGTGAGACAGAAAAAAAATATAAATACTTTTGTGATGTTCAGGCCAATTAAATTTCTAAAAATAGTGTGGAAGCCTTTTTATATTTTGGCATTTTCTATATTTCACCTTGAACATTTTTTATTATTAAAGGCCCAATTTATGTCCCAGAAATGTTTTTATTCTTATTTCTCAAAAGCTTTTTAATTTTGGCGTATTTTTATAGTTAAAATATATCCATTGTCCAATTGCCTGAATCATCTTTGTTTTCTGTTACTTTCTGGTAATAAGTAAAGTTCTAGTTATTTAGTATTTTGTATGGAAGTCAAAATACTAATTTGTTAACATTTTACTTCTTTTAGGACATTTGATTTCACATTTAGGGTAACAAGCAATTCATATACTCTAAACTATTATTTACATAATTCATTTAGTTATAAAATACATGTTTTACCTTTTAAAGGTAATCAATCTTTTGAAATATATTTTGTTAATTCTGCTAAACTTGACAACAAAATTTTTCTACATTATGTCACTTTAATATATACAATGTACATGAAATGATTTATTATTTAATGCATAATATTAATAAAATACAAGTTAAAAAAAAAAAAATCCAGAATTTTTTTTTTTAAATATACATGTAATCACTATGGATAATCATTGAACTAAAATTAAAGGTAAATAACGAAAGCCTCTAAAATTGAATACATTTTTGTTACTTAGAAAGGGCAAACATGTGCTTTATAATGTAGTTATAATGGGTTTAGAACTTGTTTGATGTTCATAACCTGAAGAAAATAGTGCTTAACATGATATAATTTGAAAACAGGCGACAAGTTGTAAACAAAGTGGTAGCTTAATTGACTTCCATACAAAATACTAAATAAATATACCAATACTAATCCAAAAAACTCAAAAGATGGGTAGATCTTTGAAGTAACTTACAGGACACCAAAGATAAAAAGCTTTTGAGAAATCAAAATAAAAGCATTATTGAGAATCAATTGGCCTTTAATTAAAAATCTTAAGAAATCATCTTACTCCTCCTTTTTCATGTTTCGTGGACAATCTTTAGGATCTTCTCCAGGAAATGACTTGGGATGTAACTGTAACGTATTTGGGAAGAATAGCTGCAATACCTGGAAAAGAAAACACAGTTAACAATTTACATAACAATAACTCAAGTTTTTCAGGGTTTTTTCCTGACTCAGGTTGAAATCTTAACGGTCATATTGTCAATAACATAAAATGGCAAATTTCCTTTTTCACAAATGATAAAAGACTTCTGGTGCTTCTGGCAATATCTGCCTCATGAGCTCAGTAACTTTCCCAAACTTACTGGGTAACTTGAAATTTGATTTTACAATAATTTGGCAACTTTTTAGCTTAACTGGTGGAATAAGACCTCACTGAGGTGCCCCTCTCTTGCATTATTTTAAGTTTTATGCTCAAACAGGCACCTTAATAGAATCATCAATAATTTACAAGCTGGCTGATAAGCTTCCTAACATGAATGAATCCATAGTCCTTTGAGAGATTCAAACCCACAATGGTGAAGCCGAAGTGGTTCGATGTCAACAACCTTCAGGCACGGATACCCCTTTAGCACTGAATTCTTACACATTCATATGTAACAATAAAAAATTGCATGGTGTGCTAACCCGATACTGATTTTAAGTGTCTTGAACAAATTGTTCTGGATTATTTACACTTGTTAAACAAACGAATTTCAAACTTTGAAGTAAATTATTGATCTTTACATACTCAGGTGTAGTACTGTTAATTGGCTTCCATTAGAGAAATTTCTTTGTAGTCATTGATAGTAGATATACCTATTTATATATAAAGCGGTTTTACGACACAATTAATGTTATGTATCTTTGTTGTGTTTCACTTTTGAAATTATTATACCAGTATAAAATATTACGGTAATTAAAAACTTGGTGTAAAAACACAACTCTATTTTCTCACTCTTTAATACTAATATTAGTTACAAGATGGACTTACAGTGTTGTTCCTAATGAATAAATGAATATAAAAGAAATTGCAATTTTATAGATATTTAAAATGGTTTTAAAAACCTTGTTGGCACACTGTTTGATCAAAATACTAAGTTATCTGCAATTGCATTGATATAAAGGTAAAAGTTGGCAAGGGAAATAACTTCTGTTGTCATAGATGCTAAAAGTGTTAAAAAGTGGAAAAGGCATTTTATGCATCAAAAATCCCTCAAAAATCAGTAAATTTTTACCTCTTTGGAAAGGGCAAACTTAAGTTCTATAAAGTTTATATTATGATTTTAGAGCATGTTTGATACTTAATTGTTACCTTAAGAAAGTAGTCAGAGATCACACGAGTGACTCTGAAAATATTTTTGATGCCTGATAGTGCTTTAATAAATTGATATGAAATTATTTGTCATTAAATTAGTAAAATGTAAACAAAGTGGTATTCTAACTTACATACAAAATACTATTTTACTATAACTGTACTAATTGTCAGTATACAACAGAAGAAAAACTATAATTAAAGTAAACCAAAAATAAGAAGCTTTTGAAAAATAAAAATTAAAAACATATCTGGGGTATAATAGGCCTTTAATTTTTCATTTCAATATCCTTCAGTTTAGCTGCCAACCAAATAGAACCTGGGTCAGTTTAGGCAAGGGTGTATTATATATATGCCCATATCATTATGCTCTGCCAAGCTTCACAAAAACTTAGCTCTGGCTTCCAAAATACTTTTACATGTAAAATAACCTTGGATTATACTAAGGTACAGACAGTTAAGTTATTATTACGTAGCATAGGTCCATCACCAATGCCATTAACAATGATTAATGGAAAACATTAATTTTACTTTGTATCTCTGAAATATCCTCTTTAAAAAAATCCACTCAAAGCAGTAATGAACTGTAATTCAAATCCTAAGGTATATGGTAGTAATTAATTAATCAGCATTTTTCCCTTGATATGCATATATGATGATACATCATTGAGAAGAAATAACAATAAAAATGTGAATATAAGCAATAAAACTATCATTTTGAACTACACATTCCCCTTAACACACCCATTAAGGTACTCCATCCATCAATTACTTAAACTTTTAAATTGATGAATTTCTTAAATCAGGAAATGCAAAACTGTTCATTTATGAATTAAAGATGAAACTTTAAAGTTAGAACTTAGATATCCAACAGTGTAGAGTCTAGTCAGATTGCATGGATGAGCAAGGTAGCCTGGTGGCTTTATACAGGTGACATTTAGGCTAATCAGTTTCAGATTCAGAAAGGGTAAGGTAGGTTGAACTGGGTTAAATATCATAAACAGTCTAGCAAATTACTTTACTTTCCATATGTAATACAAGATTGAGGGCATTCATGATCAAGTATTTAAGGTTTTTTTTCAGATAGAAACATTAAAATAAATGTGTATAATTCATTTAGAATCATTATAAACAATAAAAGATAATAAAGAAGTTACTTACTGGGCAAAAGTCGATATCTTTGACTAGTTTATTCAATGATTCCGAGTAGACATCGTGACTTATAATGAGCAATGTTTCCTCAAACTTCTTGCTCCTTGTGAATCAAGTAAATTTGAGGTTCAAATCTTCATAAATGACAACTATCACAAACTTTCATGTTTTTAGTTTTTAAACCGTAGCGATGAATATTTTTTATTTGTTGTTTGAATTTAACCTTATTATTTCTATTCAATCTGCTTTTAAAATTCCGAATCAAATCATTTGAACTTTTCATCGCTCGGTTTTAAAAAATCCCGGGGGCTATTATAAACTGAATTATTTTTTCCCTCTGAATCATGTAACATCCTTTTCCCAGAATTCCCTCTTTGTACATGTGGCTGTTCCCGTTTTAAGTGGTTCTCAAAATCGCTGAAATGATATCCGTCTTCGCTGTCCGCAGGTCCCGGTTGAAAATTAACGAGAATGTGTAAGTTGAGCAAAACAAAAAGACATAACACGATCATAAACATCCATCGTAGTAGTCTTCGCACCCTTGGTATCCTCATTGCTCGCATATGCCCGCCTTGCTTATCACAGAATTGAAAATACCCCAACAGTCAGAGTGCACATATCACCGATTAAAGTAAATATCCCCTCCTCTCGACTCTGCTTTTCCTTTAAAAACTGCAATGAAAAGAAATAATACCAATTTTTAGTACGGAATTGAATGCATAATCTATCATTTATTATCATCCATGAAAAAAATAACACATGCAATTGCAAAATGAGTATAATTTTTTTTTTATCAATTCGGTTAATTTTGTTTCATTTAAAATTAGCACTACCATAAATAAATTTCCCAACTAAATACTTACGGAATAAATTATTTAGTTTCCCGTATATATTTTTCTTCTAAACATCTATAATTATTAATATATTATCATCAAAATTGAATACGTGGATAGATAAATTACTATCTAGAAATGCTATTCTTCACTTTCATTATTGATTTATGAATATATGTATTAAAACTACAGTATCGAATGAGATAAACTTTCCAATTACTGTAAACACTTTCAGCCAAATATCCAATATATATATACCGGTATATATATATATCATACAACAATTTTATTCATTATATAAATGAAAACCTCTTTCATGTTTTGTTAACCTCTTAAGTCTGGATTAAATAATCCTTTACAATATAACCCAATTTCCTTTCTTCATAAAAGTCCAATTGTTATTCGGACAAGTTTTTGACACATTTAAAGGTAAAAACTATCCCAATCCACCTGTAATCCTCTACACAAATCCTTGTGAAAGCAACCTTTTTACTACCCATTAATTATATATGTTTAGACTTGTTCTCATTTGGAACTTAATTAATTGTATGTCATTATTAAAAAAAAATCTGAAAAAAAAGTGTGACCACTAAAATTAATCTAGGCAAAGTGCATTGTTGACAGTGCAGGCTGGACATTGGATGGTTCGATACATTACAAGTACCAAAAGTGCATTGTTATTTTTGCAATCTGTCGAAGTGTTAACACGCTTAATTCCTTACCGTTTTAAAACTTATTTTTACTTAATTTATGGCATTTTTTTGGGTCAAATTTTCCAACAAGTTTACCATTTGTAAAGTTATTTAAAGTCAAAATTAAACGTAAATATCGCAATTTCGTTTCTTTAGTTTTTCTCACGGCCAGTCTCTTCAAAAAGTAGCCTTTTAACCTGCTGGATTTCTAAAATAGACTTCAAATTGTAGCTTCCAATTTTCTAACTGTCCATTGAAGTATAAATTTTCTAAGGATTATCCAAATAAAAATACATGTTACTCGGTCAACTGTTACACTGTGGTCACACTAAACCAAAAATTAATACAAACTGGCCGGTTGGCTCTATAACGGTTGACTCAGAAACTTGTTGGCAAGGGTTTACACTTTTTAAGGTTTTTCAAAGGGGAAAGGGGGGTTTTTGATAACCGGGAAAATTCTTTTTTTTATAAAAAGTTTTATTTTTTTGGAGCCCCGGTTTATACTTAAAAAAATCTACCATGGGGGCCCTTAAACTTTAATATTTTACTCCGTGAATTTTTTTGGGTTGGGGACTTCCAATTTTAAACATAATGCTTTTCCTTCTTAAAATTATATAATAAGAATTCCAAGGGCAGGGCATTTTAAATTAGGTTTTCTGGGCTTCCAAAAAAAAATTTTTAAAATTAATGGAACCCTTGGGATGATCACAAAAAATTTCCCCCCCCTCCGCCCCCCCGGGCCAAACCCAAACCCCAACACAAAAAATATAAAAAAAAAAAAATCTGCTACCTTTAAACGCTCTTTTTCCTCGGGTTTTCATTTTCAGTCTGTTTATCAGTAACTTAAGAACATAACTTTACAAATAATAATATTTTCAGACAATTATGCATTCATTTTATTCTTGTGTCTGAGCAAAAATCAATAACTAATGCAATTAAACTGTACTTTTCGTCATTGCCAATTTCTAAGAAATATATTTTGAGCTTGTATTTTCTATAAAAGTTTAAAAGACTTCTCCATGAAAATGTGTAGCTCACAGTGTTTCAATTATCTAAGGAGTTAGGATCTCAATTGTAAATATTTCATTAATTTCATATCCTCGCAGAATTCAATTTAAATCAGCCAAATTTATTGTTATGATAACATTACTGTAAGACAAAATTTGCAAGTCTATTATTACACAAAAATAAGCGCCAGTCTAGCTATTTTGATACAATAATAATATATACCAGTCTATCATTACACAAAAATGAGCACCAGTATAGCTATTTAAATTCATACAATAATAATGTAAACCATTCTATTTTTACACAACAATGAGCACCTGTCTAGCTATTTTGATACAATAATAATGTTTAATGTATACCAGTCTATTATTACAGAACAATGAGCACCAGTCTAGCTATTTTGGTATACCAGACTATTATTACACAACAATGAGCACCATTCTAGCTATTTTGATACAATAATAATGTATACCAGTCTATTATTACACAACAATGAGCACCATTCTAGCTATTTTGATACAATAATAATGTATACCAGTCTATTATTACACAACAATGAGCACCAGTCTAGCTATTTTGATACAATAATAATGTATACCAGTCTATTATTACACAACAATGAGCACCTGTCTAGCTATTTTGATACAATTATAATGTAAACCGTTCTATTTTTTACACAAAATGAGGATCAGTCTATTCTGACAAAGTGTATAGTGTATAGTAATCTCACTCAGAATTTCTCCTGTATGTGAAAAATTGCAGGAACTGTGTAATTAATTTAGGGGTGTAACAATACCGCAAAAACCGTATTGCAATATATTGCCATTTTGCTGAAGTGTATTGAAATATATTGCAATACATATTGTGGTGTATATGTTTTGATGTAAAGTCATGGAGTAACATTATATATCATTATTATTATATGTATATATTCTTAGGCAGCACACCACACTAAATGAAGCCGCAGCTTCGAATGGCCAGGGAGGATTTCCTGGATATAGTGACTATTGTGGATTTAAATGACTGGTTGTCTTTAAAATGCATTTTCAGCATGAAATTGTTTTTGTGACAGCCCTTTTTTTTTTCCATGAAATTTGTTTTGGGGGGGGGGGCAGGGGTTTCCCCCTTTTTTTTTTTTGGGGGAAAAAAAGGGGGGGGGGCCCCCGGGGGTTTTTTGGTTTTTTTTAAAAAATTTTTTTTCCTTGGGGGTTTTTTTTAAAGGGTTTTTTTTTTTTTGGTTTTAAAAAAATTTTTTTTTTTTTTTTTTTTGGGGGGGTTTTTTTAAAAATTTTTTTTAAAAAATTTTCCCAAAACCTTTAAAAGGGGGTTTTTGGGGGGGCTTTAAAAAAGGGAAAAAAAAAATTTTTTTTAAAAAAAAAAAAACCCAAAAAAAAGGGGGGGGAAAAAACAAATTTTTTTTCCCCCCGGGGGTTTTTAAAAAATTTCCCAAAAAAAAATTTTTTTAAAAAAAAAAGGGAAAATTTTTTTTGGGGGGCAAATTTTTAAAAAAGGGGTTTTTTAAAAATCCCTTTTTTTTAAAAAAAAAAAAAATTTTTCCTTTTTTCCCTTTTTTTTTTTTAATTTAAAAATTTTTTAAAATTTTTTTTCCCGGAAATTTTTTTTAAAACCCTTTTTAAAATTAAAAAACATTTTTTTTTAAATTTTTTGGGGAAAAAAAAAAAAAAGGGAAAAAAAAAAGGGGGGGGGAAATTTTGGAAAAAAAAAAAAAAATTAACCCAAAAATTTTTTTTTTTTCCCAAATTTTTAAAACCAATTTTTAAAAAAAATTTTTGTTTTTAAAATTTAAACCCAAAAAATTTTCCTTTTTTTAAAGGAAAACCCCCCCAAAAAGGCGGTTTAAAAAAAATTTTTTTTGGGGCCCCTTTTTTAAAATTTTTTTTTAAAAAAATTTTTTTTTCCCCCCGAAAAAAAAGGGTTTTTTTTTTAAAAAAAAAAAAATTTTTTAACAAAACCCAAAAATTTTTTTTTTTCCCTTTTTAAAGGGAAAAAAATTTTTTTTAATTTTTAAAAAAATTTTTTTTTAAAAAAAAAAAAAAGGGGGAAAAAAAAGGGAAAAATTGGGAAAAAAGGGGAAAAAAAGGGAAAAAAAAAAAAAAAATTAAAAAAACCCAAAAAATTTTTAAAAAATTTTAAAAAAATTTTTTGGGGTTTTTAAAAAACAAAATTTTTTTAAAAAAAAACCTTTTTATTTGGGGGTTTTTTAAAAAAAAAAAAAAAAAAAATTTTTGGAAAAATTTTTTTTTAAAAAAGGGGTTTTTTAAAATTTTAAATTTTTCCCCCCCTTTTTTTAAAAAATTTTTTTTTCCCTTTTTGAAAAATTTTTTAAAATTTTTTTTTAAAAAAAAATTTTTTTTTTAAAAAAATTTTTTAAAAAAAAAAAAACCAAGGGAAAATTTTTTTTTGGAAAAAAATTTTTAAAAAATTTTAACCCTTAAAAAATTTTTTTTTTAAAATTTTTTTTTTGGCTGGGGGGGAAAAAAAAAATTTTTTTCCCCCCAAAAAAATTTTTTTTTTTTTTTTGGGGGTTTTTTTTAAAAAAATTTTTTTTTTTAAAAAATTTTTTATTTAAAAAAAAAAAACTTTTTTTTTAAAAATTTTTAAATTTTTTTTTTTTTTTTTTTTTTTGAAAAGGGGGGTTTTTTTTTTTTTAAAAAAAAAGGGGGGGTTTTAATTTTTAATTTTTTTTTTTAAAAAAAAAAAAAAAAATTTTTCCCCCAAAAAAAAAAATTTTTTTAAAATTTTAATTTTTTTAAAATTTGGAAATTTTTAAAAAAAAAAAAAATTTTTTTTTAAATTGGGTTTTAAAAAAAATTTTTTTTTTTTTAAATTTTTTTAAAAAAAAAAAAGGCCAAAAAAAATTTTTTTTTTTTTAAAAAAAAAAATTTTTAAAAAATATAACCCTTTAAAATACTTAAGTTTGGTAAACTTTTTGTGATATTACGAACAGTACAATCCAAGTGTACACACATGAACAACAAAGTATATATATCATCAATCACAGATAATAAAGCAATTTACAGCTTATAACCGGCATGTAACACTTGTTTTAAATATATATGCTATAAACATAAAAGCATAAATCATGAAACTCTTCAAATTTTTGTAAGTCCACTGGTATACAATATTAGTATTTGTAAAAGTGTG